ATAAGAAAAGTTGTCTTGCGCACGTATGATTATGTCTTTGTACAGTCGTTTGTATTTTAATCATAACTTTATCTTTAAATATCCGATTGAGGTGATTGAAAGTGATTTGGAAAGATAACTCAAATGGATAAAATTCACGTAGACATATAATTTCTCCAATTCCAACGTTTGTTATTCAAAAAATAGGTCTCAATCTCCGACTAAAAATGTGAAACATACTTCGTGCGATTGGAAATTGATTTATGAAAATCTTTTTAATCTATTTCACTCCTTTTTGGCTTCTAATTGCATCAAATTGAATCGTAACAATCAACTATTGAATATTTTCAATTTGATCCCGAACTTTGTATTTCTTTTTTTTTTCGCCTGTTTTTCGCTCATTCTTCCAATTCATCCAATTTGTTTCAAATCTTACCTAACAAATAAATTAACATCTAATTAAGTCATAATTCATCAAAATTAATCACATTTAATGGTCCAAATAAGTGTATAAGATACACGTATCATTGGGATTTGATGTAAAATCCAGCCTAATTGGACTATGATGAAGGTGGGTTTCACCAAGCTACTTAAGCTATTGACTCTGATAATTTCAAAAGTGATAAGGCTCAAAACTCGGATCCATTAAATGGACTAAATCGTGTTTGAGAAGCAAAACTTTAGTTTATATTTGTCACCTCTTTAATTGATACATTGCTAGTTACTTTGGATCGTTGATCTCTATCTGAGAGCAATGGTGATTGTTAAGGGTATAAATAGACCCTTGTGTTGAAGCCCTAATTCATCGTGAGTACGATTTGTCATGGCTGTCTTCGAGAACTCTATGGGTTTTTTTCGTCCTCTCTTCAATTTTCAACTTCTGATTGAACGATTCTTTGATTTTGTGGGAGATTAAGAGTCTGAGTGATTTTTTGGTGAGAAGAGTGACAATTTGGTTTGGGTTAAGTTCCTGTGGTCCATGGAAGGAACTTCAACAAGTCGATTCAATGATCTTGGTTTTGAGGCTTCTGTTTGATACAAAGGGTACAATTATTTGAGCATGTGTTCTATGAAAACTTTGATGTCTTGGTAAAAAAGTCGAGTTGTAAATTTGGAGTAAAGTATTTTGAATCATTTGTCCATTACTTTTCGATTTTTTTTAGGATACTTACCTCTTCTTCCATTTGCATTTCCTTTTTTTCTTTTTAAACAAGAGGACCTTGTTTTGATTGCTTGTGTTATTGTAAAATTCCTCAAGAATGATGAAGCTAGAATTTGTTTTTGAACTTGACAATTTCATACCATGGATAGCAAGTGTTCTATAACTTCTATGCTCGGCAAGAAATTAAGTTAGAAAATCCACTAAAATACTGCGATTTGTCTCGATACTTGGAAATACATGGTGGCAACAAAGTAGGTGGACCTCCTCAACATATAGAAGTTATTGAAATTTGGGGGCAATAATTTGGGCTTGGAACATGCTGATTTGGGCTCCCCTGTTGTAGATGGTCATGAGGGCTTCACGTGGCCCTGTTTCAATTAGTGGAGAAGGTCATTTTAGTGTGCCAAAACAAAAATCCAAGTAGATAGCTCTACTCCAATGGACCGTCAAGATAACTTTAAGAGGAGAAATTGTACAAAGGGAAATTTTGATCCTTACCATATTCAGAAAATTTGATCCTTACCATATATTGCAGCAGTGAGAGTAAGGTAAATGGGAGAAGTTAGATAAAAGATAAGTCCGAATTCTTCCTAACTTTTTTTCTCTCACAAAATCAACCGGAAGACTCGGTATAACCGGAGTCGGGTCGTCGGTAAAGTCAAATCCATCGATTTGACTTTATTACCACTTTCCTATACCTCACCTCCACCACCCCTACCGCTCCGGCGACTGTTCCGACTACTGCTCCAATTTCAACGACTATCCAGTGATCGTTTCGACGACTGCTCTGATTCCAGCAAATATTCTGATGACCGTTCCGCCGCCAATTTATTCCGGCGAATGCTCCGATTCCGGCAATTGTTCCAACTCCGGCAATTATTCCAACTCCGACGAATATTCCGGCGACAAGTCCGCCATATATTTTTTTTGTACAGTTGACACTATTTTTGACCTCTTGATTGTTGCTTGTGACTAGTAATATAAAATGTGACCTGTAAATTTGAACCGTGACTCTACAAATACATGTAACCTGTTAATATTGATTTGTGACCTATAAAAAATGACAGTGGCTCGTGAACTCAAACCTGTGACCTTAACAACTCATATTGGTCATAACTTATTTTTTGGTCACAAATCAAGAATTTTATAGGTCACATGTTATTTCTCGGTCACGAATAGAAAGTCTTATGTCACAGATTATTCATCAATAAAAAAATCAGAATTTTTATTGGTCACAACTCGATTAGAACTTAATGAATTGTGAGTCACAATCATAATTTTTAGGTCATGTATTATTCATCGATGACGAATCGAAAATTTTATTGATCACAACTAATTTATTTTATTGTTAACATTCTCAAATTAATTGGTCACGCATTATTTTTGGTCACAAATCACATATTTAATAGGTCCCAACTTGTTAAAATAATATGTCGCTTATTATTTTTCGGTCACAAGTCACAAATTTTACAAGTCACAGTATATTTTACGGTCACAATTAACCAATTTATTGGTCACAAAGACTGTACACTACCACAATCGACAACTCATCACTAACGGCGCGATGCCACCACCATCAAAACCAACGATGCCTCCACCACAACCCACAACAAAAAAAATAAGAAAAGAAAAATGCAGCGCCTCTCAGATCTGGAGTACAACGCCATGCAAAGCTGAGCGACTACCGTGCACGGCACTGCAAGCAGAACACCGAAATGCCACCTCCATCATCATCAACACTTGGCCTACGCTCACCACCGCATCTGCAAACGAACACTTCGACCACCGAACCGTTGATCACCACGCCACACCATCGTCAATTACCACACCACTAGTTACCGAATCTAAAGTTACAAAACACAAAATGTAAAAGTAGAGACCCTAGATTCAGCCCCAAGCAGATTGATTCATTTATATCTGCCCGCCGTGAGCACAAAAATTGATTACCTTCATAAACACAAGAAAAAGAACGAGAAATTAGGGTTTTAAAATCGAGCTGAGGTGGAGTGGGGTGTAAACACAGAGGAAAGAAAGGTCGCAGCGATGGTTGTGGCGGCTGCTGCTTCAGATCAAAGCCACCATCATCACGACCACCATTTTTAGCCACCACCGGTCCATCATTGCCACACCGTTTATGATCGCAGTTTCAATTGTCGTGATGGCGACGAGAGAGAGGAGAGGTAGAGAGAGAACGGGTTTGGGGGAAATGAGGTGGGTGGAGGGAGGTAGGGTTGATTTCTAAATTAATTGAATTTCATAATATATTTATTTAATAATACTTAAAGTAGGGATTGATATAATTTCCACTAAGAGAATTAGTATAAAATATGCCAAAAGATTTTCTAAATTTGTAGAAAGCTAATATAAGGAAAGATAATTTTAATTTAGAACATCCTTATATTTTCCTTCAAAATAAATCTAAAATATATCTAGGATGATATAGAATCTATTCCACATGAGATGTATTTGTATAACAAGAAATTACATTCTGCATTTATTCGCAACTCAAAATTTCTGATCCAATTTGCTTACCATCCCAGTCAGTTAGTACTAGCTGCTAGTAAAATCTGTACACTTATCTCAATGTTTGGCAATCAAAAATCACCAGTATATATTAAGTAAGCCAATATATAAAATATGTAAAACCAACAATCTCTTCATTTGGCTTTACTTAATTAAAAAACCTATCAATCAGATTTTTAATGTTGTATGTACATGTGATGATAACTGTTGGTGTGATCAAACACTCAACATAATCTACTCCCCCTTAGTTAGCATAGCCAACATAATTAAATTGCTAAAAATAAATTAAAGTTCAGACATGAAACCAGTTATCCACATTCCATCACCTAAACACAGTTTATCTACCTTCCCTAACTAGCAAAGCCCAACACACTAAATTGGAGACATGGGTGTCATGAAGACAGTTAAACTACCTATCAGTTGATCCATCCACACAAAATAGTTATCAACATCACTATCAACAACCACAAACAACATTCTACTCCTCCTTTTGTAATAAAGGAATATCCAAGCAATAGGGGAAGGAACACAAAAAACCAACAGTAGTTTATTGTTAAATACAGTCGTCTAGGAGTAAGTTAGAGACAAATAGTTAGAGATAAATGGTTAGAACCCGTCAAGAGGCAGATTTCTTGGACTATTTTGCAGTATGCTTAGATGAATCACTACCCCTCTTGCGCAAGGAAGCAGGAGCAATATCAGTAGTTGTTTCAGTCTTGGAGCTATAGTGCTATTAGGCAGTGGGTCAGTATTTTGTGCCTCTGGTGCTGCACAAGTTGAACTGGCTAATTCTTCAGGTTGAGGTACATATTCAGGAAAGCATGGAGTGACAACTCTCATAACTTCTCGAATATGATCATCACCTAAATATTAAATTTCTTTTAGCACACTATGCAAGAATTTCAACTCATTAGAAAAGCTTTGAGTGCGGAGAAAGATTTAAGGCTAATTGGCACAAAACGTCCCTACCTTTGAGGTCTATTGTGGAAAACGTCCATACCTTTCATTTCTTGGCACAAAATGTCCCTACCTTTCACTTTTGTAGCTCTCAACGTCCTTTTCGTCTCTTTTTTACCATTTTACCCTTCTATTAAAATAAAACAAAAACAAAACAAAAGAAAAATAAAGAATAAATTGCAATCTTACTCCTAAACTTTTAAAAAAAATGCCAATGAATCAAAAATTTATGGAAAAAAAAAACTCTCTCTCTTCTCCTCCGCCTCTCTTCTCTTGCTTGCCCAATTTTTGGGCTTTTGCAGATCCAGAAATCTCGTGCTCCAGCAAAAATTTCTGCAGGTCCTAAACTAAGTCCCTTCCTCTGAACCCCAGTTCTTGCTCATATTGATGAAGTTTGTTCAATCTCCTTCTTCTCTTCCTCATTTTTAACACACTGTTTCAGTTCCATAAACTTCGCCCGAATTACTCTTCCTCTCTTTTCCACAGTTTTTACACTTCTCTCAGACTTTTCAAGTTTCAAAGCCTCTAATCTTGAAGTCAATCTTTTAATTTCCATCTCAATCCCCTCAATTTCCTCATCAAAACTCTTCAAATCCACCTTTTCTTCAAAACCCTGTTTTGAAATTCCTCTAGTTTTCGAATTTTTCGGAGCCCCATTAGAATTTACCGGCTTGAAGGGTGTCACCACAGATCTGAGAGAAGAAGAAATAGAAGAAATAGGGTTCTCAAATAGAGGACCTTCATTCTCTTTGCTCGAAGAATTCGAGATGAACGACTCTGTTGAATTCGACAAAATGGGCTTCAAAGGACTCCAAGAAGGCTCACTCTGAGAAAATTCTTTAAGAACTCCGTTATCAAAGGCAGCATTGTTCCATATCTTTCTGTATAGATTTGACTAGTGAGTTTTAGTGTTCCGAGGAAGATTATAGTTTGAATTATTCCAAGTGAGGAATAAAAGATGTTCCTTTCAACGTTACATAATAATTTTGGCGTTCATTTCGTGTCGATGTTGTCTCTCCATGAAACAACAAACTCTCGTTACCTTCCAAATTTCCTGTTTCCATAGACTGTGAAATCCAAATACACTGGTAAACGATTGGTATGCACTTCTAGTTCAAAGAATTCCAATCCAAAACCCGCCAAGAATCTAAAAATGGGGGCAATTTTCAACATTATAACATCATCGAAAAAGGGCAAAAAATCACCTGTTTTGAGCGAAAAGGGTGAGGGATGGAACGGTTCAGGGTTTTGGCAGCGGGGGTGAAGGAGGCGGAGGGAGGTGGAAGAGAAGAGAGACAGTTTTTTTTGTTATTTTTAATATTTTCATAAATTTTGGTCTCATTTGTATTTTTTAAAAAGTTTAGGAGTAAGATTGCAATTTCTTCTTTATTTTTCTTTTCCTTTTTTTTTTTTTAATAGAAGGGTAAATGGTCAAAAAGAGATGANAAGGGTAAATGGTCAAAAAGAGATGAAAAGGACGTTGAGCGCTACAAAAGTGAAAGGTATGGACGTTTTATGCCAAGAAATGAAAGGTAGGGACGTTTTCCACAATAGACCTCAAAGGTAGGGACGTTTTGTGCCAATTAGCCTCGTTGTAACTCAAGAAGGTCCAGACGTACTGATTGTTCAGATGTAGGTAGGACATTGGGTGGAACCCTGGGAATGGGATTGGGCATAGCCTCCAAGTTTGCAAATTCATTGGTGCCCACAGTGGAGATATCATCTGAGTACTTGTCTTTAGGCATCGAAAAGACGAAAGATCTGCCAAATAATGGTGAATCAAACTTGGGTGGGGCAACTTATATTGTCTAGCTCTCCTTGGTCTTTCATAAACAATCTTATCAAAGATCATTTACACCAAGTTCATTCCCACTTTAGATCCCAACTTGTACAAGATCATTTACCTTTCATTTGACAGATCAGACCGATGTGTCAGGGAGCCAATGTTACGGGTCAGAATTTTTTGGAGGACTGTATATTTTGGAAGCAGCCTAGATGCTGGAAAATTGTCAACCTTCTCACGTGAGTTCATCCATGTAATTTCCATTGCCACAAAATTATTGGATAGCTTCTCATCAATTGACTCTACAACCTTCTCCATTCCCAACCAGTCACGGAGTATTACAGGACTAAAGGTAACGAGTGAACCCCTTATGTACATTGTTAGAATTTGGTTGTGACCCGAATTCCTTGTTGAAGTAATTGAAAAATTCTAGTTGAAGTACACGTCAAGAAGAATTTAGTTTGGAATGATATTAGAGTCATACGTTAAATTGAAGTCCTATTTTAGAAGCCCATTGGAAATTGGTATTGGACTTGAAGAAGAAGAGTTCGAAATGGAGAAAAACAACTTGGAGAAAAAAAAAAGAAAAAAAAAGTGGGCAGAACGCCCATCGTCCCTACCTAATTTTTTCCCCGGGTACCGGGGCGCCACAACGCCGGCTGTGGCACCACCTATGTCTTTTTGGGTTTTTCACATTTTATTTCTCTTTTTTTGTTTTGAACTCGATTTTTTGGCATCTTACTTCATCAATAACTCTACTAGGAGGGAGTTTGTTTCTCTTCTATATCCCATTTATCTCAGATATTCACAATCAAGAAGTACTGGATTCTCTTTCGGATAGGCCTTGAAAGGAAAAGGAAGACGGGAATGACGTTCTCTACATGTTCCCTATAAATATTGGGCTCTTTTATACAATTTTATAGTATGAGAAAAGTGATTACTAGCTTTTAGAATCAATTGTATATTTCTCTATTACTATTCATGAGTCAATAAAATCTCCTAATTCATCTGCTATATTTTCTTGTCTTCTTTTGCTTGTGATCAAATAATTCATTATTATGCCATATAACCTCAATCCGATGATTGATTTCATATCAAATGGTATCGAGCGATACGCGATCCTTGAATTCCCAAAAATTGGTATCAGAGATTCTGGACATAATTAACACAACATACAACTTCTATCTGAAAGCATTTTTTGCCTTCCATATATTCTTTGGTATGTTTGCCATAAATTCTTTCACAATTCTCTCATTTCATTTTCCAGAAAAAGTTAGCAGTTTTTCAAACTTGTGGAAGCCCACAATGTCATCCAACCTAATTCTCACAAAATCTTCAATTTTTACTTTAAACTCTTCAATAACTTTTCGGTGATGAGTGAATGACACTTAAAGGTTTTCATTTGGTTCGGACAATAAACAATAGTTATGGGGATTAACAAGAGTGTCTACCTCTAGAAAATATCTTAAACTTGAATCGCCCAGGGTCTGAACTAGGGGTCGCCAGAAATCTGTAGGCTCCACCAGACAGAATGGGAGGTCTATTTTGACTACTTGGCAATGGAGTGTTAGAGCCTTAACCTACTTTTGTAAGCAATTATATAACTCTAATACCAAGATTTTTTCGAATTCATGATTTTCACATATAGATTAATTCATCAATAAACATATCTTGATCCATATCATTAGTTGAAAGATTTAAACCTGTAAAATACAAACTGGTGAAATCTAGAAACCGTTCTCTCTCTCTTTTCCTTTCTATAATTGAATATTTTATTTGATGAGTTTCATTCACATTTATAGGTAGAGAGAGGCAATTTCATGACCATAAAAGAAAACTATTCACCTTCCATCGAAGTCATATACCATAAAAGAAAAGTATTCACTTCCCATCAAAGTAAACAGTTATTAAACTGTCACTTCTCAATGAACTAATAGAATTTATCAATAATTAACCATCATTAATTAATTTATATAATAATATTACTTGGACCAAATTAATAGGTCTTACAGAGGAACTATAGCTGTTTTCGAAAACAACTTAATCTGCATCAACAAATCAAGCAAACTCTGCAATTTCTGTAGCAAAACTAATTCATCCATTATCACAAACAAGCAATATGCCTCACTCCCCCTCGTTCCTCTTCCTTCCCCATTATACCTTAAAAACTTCGAGGAAAAAATACCATGGAAAAAAGCTACAAGCTCGAATTGTTAAGGGATAAATCCAACATCGAATAAAGATGAAAATATAGTCAAATTTATAAAAGTTTGGGACTACTCCTTTTAACAAGGTTGACATTTTAAGATGAAACTTCAAATCTTAATATGGTATCAGAGCCCGTTAAACTCCAACGAGCAATTCGATCCGATGAAGACTAAAAAAAAAATTTGAGTACACGAATTTCAAGATTGATCTACTCAAAATGAGACACCATCTTAATGGGGCGTGTTATGAGATAAATCTCATATCGAATAAAGGGAAAACATAGACCAATTTATAAGAGTTTGGAACTACTTCTCTTAATAAGGTTGACATTTTAAAATGAAACATCAAATCTTAACACGAATGACGAAAGAATATCAATGGAGTTGCGTAAAACTTCATCAAACATTGAACCTGAGAGAACAGTCTCACCATGGATTCAAATTTCTTCAGCTTTATCCTTGTTGAAGAAGAAGAGAATGGAGGGTGGGTTGTGGATTCAGTAAGTCTAGGTGGGTTGATGGTGAGAAATGTGAGTTTAGAAGGTGGGGCAATGTGTGGGTTGGGTTTAATAGGGTGTTTGTGTACTATTTTGTACAACTTTTTCCATCTATTAAAATTAAATTAATTATGGACACATAGAATTTAAATTGTCTATAGAGGTAAAAAAGTTCAAAAGTGACATTTTTGCAAAGAATATTAAAAGATGACATTTTTGCAAGTGACAATTCAAAAAGTGATATGGGGTGCAATTATTCATATACCAAATTATTTAACTATTCTGAAAATTGTTAACATATTTGTTCCCTTTAATTCCAACATCATAGAAACCATTTCTCGAAGCATTGTAGACATTCATCTTCATAATTGGGCACGCTAGATGCCCGTTCTTAACAAATTATGTTTTCTTGGCATTCAACTGATTGCACCTTGACTGCTATTATTGCACCTTGAAGGGACTTGAGTTCCTTTGTCGACAACAAATTCCATAATAATACTAACATCATTTCCAATTCCATTTCTAATTTAGATACTTCCTTTTGAACTCTCAATAGTAGTCCATCATGATCAATTGATTCCACAAGTACACGGATCATTACAAGTAATAAAATGGACATAAGGGTACGTTTAATTGCGAGCATGTAATTTGTATGGAGAGAAAATAAATTTTAGGCAATTCAATTACATATAACATATTTGTATGAAAATTATTAATTAAATGTATTTGATTGATTTAGTTTTCAATTTAGAAAATATTGCACTTATCCATTTTTATTGGTGGGTAGATGAGATAGAGGGAATAGATACAGAGAGAAAGAGGAAGATGAAGTAAATTACCTAGAAAATAAAAATCATCACTTCCTAAATAAAATGTTTTCCTTATTTTTGAGGAAAATATGATCGTATGATCAAAAGTTGAGAAATATTTTTCATGAAAAAAATTGTCCATCAAACATCCAAAAAGTAGGAATCTTGGTGAAAAAATAAACTTTCCATGGAAAATAAAACCCCGCAAACACACTCTAAAAGTTCGAAATACCGTTCCCACAAATACTAAGTATTTACTATCAGTTTTTATCCCTAATCTAACTTCAATCTAATTTATTAATGTCTTTGAAAAGACTGTCCCTGTCAGCATTTATATAATCCATTCATGTAAATATATCAACTATTATAACAAGAATAGTATTTTGTCAAAAAACAATACATAAACGAGCTCGAAGTGTCAATTCCTTAATTCCATAATGTCAATGATCATTTCCAATAATGATCGTTCTTTCGTCATGTTCATTAAATGTCTTTGGTGGCAATCCTTTCGTTAGTGGATGTGCAATCATAAGATTGGTACTAATATGCTCAATTGACACCTTTTGTTTTTGAACTTCTTCTTTAACGGCAAAGTATTTCAATTCTATGTGTTTAGCACCTTTAGAGTGCTTGTCATTCTTTGAAAATAAGACTGTTGCAAAATTGTCACAATAAATTTTTAGTGGCTTAGCACTACTGTTGACAATTTCAAACCTTGAAATAAAGTTTCGTAGCCAATTTTCTTGAACTGTGGCCTCAAAGCATGCCACAAACTCAGCTTCCATAGTGGATACAACAATGACCGACTGCTTCACACTTTTCCATGATATAGCCCCTCCAGTTAAGAGGAACAAATAGCCAAATGTGGACTTTTAAGTATCCACACATCCATCAAAGTCTGAATCCAATATCCAATGACTTCCAAGTTATCAAATCTCCTATAAGTGAGCATGTGTTCATTCGTTCCTTGCAAGTATCTCAACACTTTCTT